AATGATGCACACGTAATGAATAAATAGACTAAGACCTCTCCTACACCTAGCAGGAAAATCGAACGACTACCCGAACTGACACACGAGTCACACACCACAGCACAGAGACCGAACAAAACAGCAAACTAGAACCTCAAACCCAAAAACTATGGCCAAACTCGAACCGCCTAGATAGATCTGATTAAGAGGCTATTCTTGGTCCGGATATGGGCTCTGAAAGTCTACAACGCCGGAGGGGATAGGGGAGCCACCACGAAAACGCCGAAGGGCTCGAAAACAGGGACCAAAAGGTAACACCCAAGGCTAGCGCGCAGCTAGACGAGCAACAACTCTTTGGACACAATACTGGAGGAACATGAGACCAAAAGCTCCAAAGAGCCGCGGACACCCGAGGCTGGAGGCTAGACGCTGCAGGCCGACAACCTCGACCTTAACTGGGGAGATGGGTTGTGCGGCGAGAGCCACCACCATCCAAATCTCCCCCAAGTCTTCAGAAGAGACGAAAAGGAAGCCCCCAATCCCGACTCGACCAACGCCATTACGGAGAGCACGGTGGTCGGCTAACAGGCATAAGGGGGGTTGTGGTAAGAAGAAGACGAGGGATCGCTGCTAAAGAAAAAGAGGGGCACGTGGTGGTTCTCCCCAATTTAATTTCTATTTTGGATGTTGTATCACTAATAAGTTCTTTTTTTTATTCACACCCAATCACGTTTTTGTAGGACTTGTGTATACATTCCACTCAATATTATACTTTTTTTTTTTTCAAACAGCAAATATATTAATAATTTAAAAACTCAATAGAATACAATCAAGATGTCAACTGACACCAAAAGTACCAGAACAATGTCTGGACCACCCCTCGAAACGAAACATGTGTTCAAGGGTTAGAAACTCCATGAAGGAGACACATGAAACCACAAAACAAACTCTATAAACGAGACACAAACTTCATAAAAGAAACTAAATACGTCGAATTTTATTTTTTTTACAACCAATTATTATGCGCATATTCAGATTTCTATTATGAGATACAATTCAATTTTTCTTTTTACATCTTCTCGTCATATTAGTCACAGTTAGCGAGTAATTAGAAATGCTATCATTGTGCCTACTGGCTACTACACGACTGGAGAAAATTCCATCTTAAATGTTGCCTCGATCATCAGTCAAAATGAAAAGAAAGAGAATATTCAAAGACTTCTTTGATTGGTCCAAACAATGTGTACTCGATATAGCCGCAAATTATTTGCGCGAAAATTTCACTACCTTTGTCTTAAATAAATGAACACTCGTAAGTCGTAACCCATGAGTCATTATCATATTTCCCACCGCCACAAGGTGATGTAATATCAAAATAACTGCTTTTGACGCACGGCTCACGTATGCACACGTAAGGAGCATTTTTTCGGTAGTTTGTGATGTGGTTAGAAGTTTATATGGTCTTTATAGAAAACTAATTTAAGAGAACTTTGGATGTAATTACATAAACCATCTTAGATATACATTGAGTGACATATTTATGGTCAAAATCAAGGTTGGCAAACAAAGTTATAAAAATGTCGACTAATTTGGGTTGATATAAATTTGTTAGTAATTTTTTTTTTTATTTCACAACATATATTCTACTATTTAAGCAAAAAAAAAAAAATGCATTAAAATACAAAAATTACCAATTAACTTATTAAAAAAAATCCAAAAACAAAAGACTCGCGTGCTTGAATTGTTAGTTACTGGATATTTTTTATGTAATGTAAATGAGTAGATAAAATTACCATACTTCATTACTTCTCAAATTTATGGACATATTTTACAATTTCGAAGGGTACTTGAGTTGTAGGGAAGCGTTCCGGTGCCTAGGCGGCAACTTAGATAGCCTAGATAAATCAGGCTATGATGACCATCTTTACTCCTCTAAAATTTGACTTAATAAGGTTTTTAATGGGATAATAAGTGTAACATAGAATTCACATGTATTTATTTTCTCAATATTTTGTTATTAACTACATTTTGTAGTGAGGTATTTAATAATAAGCTGCATATATAATGCAGTAATTTTGTAACGGAGGTGTTTTAAATAATTGATTTATATATAAATATTTCCTAAGAGCATCTGCATCAGCTCATTTTTTCCGTCATTTAAAAGTCAAAATTTTCCATTCAACCAATGGAAGTTATTCATTTGATGGCAAAATAAATAGACCCCACATTCACCACCATTTATTCTACTGAATGCATGACGTTACATACAAAATTATGGGGGCCAAAATAATGCTAAAATATTATGTTTATTGTACAAAGATAAAAGGCAGTGGACCCATCTGTTTATATATTATTTATGGTTGGCCCATCACTATATATATATATATATATATATTGTAATTTAGATGTATTTGATGAATGTAGAGAAATGTTTAAATAAATAAAATGATGATGTTGATATAATGTGGAAGAAAGAGATAGTGATTTGGGATCAAATGAATTAAAATAGATGTGGATTCCCTAAGAATAGCTTTCGCAAGTACGGGCCCTAGGCCACAATTACTAAACTTTGTAATCTTTAATATGTATGAATAAGTTAAATAAATAAATATGTCTTTACCTGGTTTAAATTATTATATACCAAATTCCTCTATATTAATTGAAATTTGCACAATTTCTCCTTGTATTTTGAAAAATGTGTGGAACTTTCTTTTATATATATGAGATAGATCACCTTAAAATGAGTACATGAGACAAAATTTTAATCAATTAAAATCTTTGTTCCAAAAATCGGCCTACGCGGCCGCTAGGCGTTAGACGGTGCCCGAGCGCCTCCGATTGTACAAATCGGCCGAAAAAATCGACCAGGCGGCTAAGCCGCGCCTAGGCAGGATTAGGTGCTCCTAGGCGGACTTGGCGGGCTCGGCGGCAAGGCGGTTAGGCGGCACCTAGGCGGACCTAGGCGCTCCTAAGTGGGCTCGGCGGCAATTTTTCAGTTTTATTTTTTTTTAAATACTAATTACATTATTTTGTTCTCATGTTTTGTTTAAAATATATTAATATTATTATTTCGACTTAGGTGTGTGGATTTATTATAGGTTGAAATAATTTTATTTTGTAGGTAGTTAAAATAAATAAAAATAAGATATTTAATATTGATTTCTAGGCTCCGACTAGACGCCGCCTAGACCCGCCCTAGGCGTTAGACGCAGGTCGAGCGCCAAGCGACTTTTATAGCACTGATTAAAATACACATTAATAACATAATAAAAATTAATTATAATTATATTTAAATTAATTACATAATTAAAGAATTAATCTACCGCCGTTGATTGGCGGCCGGTGACTGGTCAACGCCGGTCATCATTTCAGGAAATTTGCCAGAAATTGAAAGGACAGTCGAGTTTCGTCATTGGAACGGCCCTTCTCACGTGGTTCTTCCCTACAGTTGTCCGCACTTGGGCCAAGATTAGTAGGCCCAACCCAATTCGTAGGACTGCCCTGTCGAACCCGTTAAAGGTCAGACAAGGGGGATTGCTAGACAAGTTTAGTTCCGAATGTCATCCCTACTTATATAAGCTAGATGAAATTTTTTGATTCAAAACATATTTAACTTTAACAAATGTTCATGAAATCCTATCAATGTTTTATATTATTCACATCTAAAGGCCAAGTTTTGTTTTCTTATTGTTTTATTTGCTAATAAACCATCCGATCATTGAAATAAGTAACCCACTAAATCGCCAGAATCGGAGCTGCCAGAAGCGAATGAAATGATAACTCGAAGGAGAGCATGCGCGGTTGTACTCTTTTTTTTCTTATCATTTTTTTTCCCACAGGATTTTTCGAATAAAGTTTTTAATGAGGTGGCATAAACACAAATTTTATAGTGGTAATTCAAAAGGTGAGTGTTGTAAATAAGTGGAATTAAATCACCATAAAGAAATCTGAATAGTGAAATGACGGGCATGAATGGTAAGATGATGGGGTCATCTGAACATTGATGGATATGAATATGTGGTGACCAAATTATTGTGTACAAAATTTTGTGAAGTGTAAGTAGATGTTGCCTATAAAAACCAACCCAAATAAAGTGGGAAGATACACTTACGAAAAGAAAAAAAAAAAAATTAATTATAATTTATATCCGATTTCTACATTGAGTTCTTTTTTTACCCTGTATTTATAACAAAATAATCATATATCCAGTCAATCTAATTAAATTCCACTCCAACATGTTCTTCTCCTCCCGAGTCTATCATTTAGAAACTATAGGTCAATTGTATGCCACACTTTTCTGAGACCTCAACAACCAAAATATTAGTCTTTTCCTACACAAACTATATTGGTTCTATCTATAAATACCCACCAAACACTTTCTTGGATTCTCGCCCAAATGACAAAAAACTAAAACAAAACATCCCCACAATTAACATTCCCTAAGCAAAGCTCTCTCTCTCTCTCTCTCTCTCTCTCAGTAATGGAAAATTTTGGTGATGAATACAGAAACTACTGGGAAACCAATAAGTTCCTACAATCAGAGAAGCTTGACAGGTAATTCAAAATGCATGTATTGTATTATGGTCATATTTTTCTATCTTTATTTGGGAAGTTTAATTAGTAAAACTGGACTATTAAAGTGATGTTCATTGGTTGGTGCAGTTGCTACCTAGACGAGGCCGCCATATCAGCTGCCGGATATTACGACTCGAGCTCGCCGGACGGAATTCAATCAAAGAACATAGCCTCAGAAAGAATGAGGAGAAAAAAGTTGAATGATAAGCTCTATGCACTAAGATCTGTGGTCCCAAACATTACCAAGGTACTCTTCTACTCATCAAATAATAATATGCTTAATTATTGTCCTTAACTTTTTTAATAACTTAAATTGGACATATATATATAAAAAAAAATGGGCACCATTTGGATTAATTATATATACTTAATTAAATAGTTGTTACATATGATGCAGATGGACAAGGCATCAATCATTAGAGATGCAATTAGCTACATCCAATCACTACACAATGAGGAGAAATTTATTCAGGCTGAGATATCTGAGTTGGAATCTTATGAACTCAATAATTGGTCTAATGAGAGTCCAATTAATAAGAGAACAAGATTTGACAATATAAATTGCTCTAATTCTGCTTCCTCGGGATTGGTCATGCCATCTCCTATTGAACTTCTTGAGGTTTAATAATTCTCTCTCTTTTTACAAAAAATAAAAACTTAAATTAAATTAAAAAAAAATTATAAGATTAATTATGAAATGTTTGTGTTTGTAGTTAAGGGTGGTGAACATGGGGGACAGGATAATAGTGGTGAGCTTGACCTGTGGTAAAAGGGCAGACACAATGGTGAGGCTATGTGAGATGTTTGAATCTTTGAACCTCAAAATCATTACTGCCAATATCAATACTTTTTCTGAAAAGCTTTCAAAGACTGTTTTCATCAAGGTACCTCTCTGTTGTCTCTGACTCATGCTTGAGTTGACTGTCATAATTAATTAATTATATAATAGTATGTAAAAAATAGACTTGACAAACTTATACATACTCTTCTCGTTATAATATTACCTAAAATCAACACACTACATTTTGTCGATACCTAATTTTGTAAATTAGTCTGAAAAATATATATTAATTAAAAGTTAATGATTTCTCTAAAATTGTCCATATTAATAAGAACCTATTTGCTTTAGTAGTACTCTTACTCCTGGTTTAGTATGTTGAATAATGAATAAATTAACATTCAAGGAGATATTTTTAAAATATATTTGGAAAAGCTAATAGCATTATTAATTATATATGAATGAAAATCTACAACCAATATCATTAACAAAAAAAANGGTTTAGTATGTTGAATAAATTAACATTCAAGGAGACATTTTTAAAATATATTTGGAAAAGCTAATAGCATTATTGATTATATATGCATAAAATCTACAACCAATATCATTAATAAATGAAATAGCCAGGCCAACTGAAAACAACACATTTGTAGGTCCTGACTTCATTTAATGAGAAGATAAAAAAAATTCAAAGTTGAAGCTCTATGTTTTATAGCTGTGTACTGTGACTACAAAATTTGTTACTAGTACTGCCCATTAGTAAACGATTTCCTTTTCAAAATATATAAATTGAAAAGCTAGGTTTAATTTTAAAATATATTTGGCATATAAGTTACATCACATGACACATGGCCTCATGCAAGTTTATTTATTGGAAGCATGGCCAGCCCCAAATCTTCTTATCCTCCTATCCTCCTATATATTAATTTAGAATGTGCTGACTCTATTTAAAAATTCTATATGACAAAATTACATATTTGTCATTAGGTTTGAGTATATTTTAATTTACTTTTAATTCAAAAATAATTAAGTCCGAATTATCCATAAATATGCTAATTATTTATGATCATGTCACATGTATTAATTGCATTTTAATATTATTTTTTATTATAACCATTAGATTGTAAATGTATTTTATTAATAATTTTTGTATTTTTCATCAGTTTTACATACATAATATATCAAATTAATCATCTCTTGATGAGCTTCGATTTAACATCCATATTGTACGTATAAAAAAATAAATTATATTATCTTTATAATAATAATAAAATTATTTTTGATATTAATTAAAAAAATAAAATTATTTATCAATTAATATATTTATATTTCAAGCAGTTATATGATATAAGTTATAAAATTAATATAATATAACACATGTAAGTCGCACAAATAACAAGTGTCATTCTAAAATATATAATAATATATATTTTTTGTAAAAAGTAAATAAAATTTAGAATAATTTTTCTCATTAATTTGAAATTTTAAGAATAATTTTTTAACACACACCCGTGTATTACACGGGTGTTGTACTAGTATATATTTATACACCGGATAAAAATGTGCAAATGACTGGTTTTGGAGACTAATTAAAACAATATAAAATGAATATTTGAATGATCTTGAAAGGAAAATTAAAACGTTTTCCCCTATTAGAGCATAACATTGACAAAGTCACTACTGACTTATTTGGCTCTAATCTCTAGGAAAGATAGCTTCACAAATCAGCGACTAATTATTTAATTAGTAATACAAAATAACGGTAACAAACATTTTGTGATAAAATTAGTACTATATTTTTAATCATATCAGATATATTATATTATTTCTATAGGTGTCGACAATCTGGCTACTAATTAAACGATAAATATGAATTAATTCAAAATTAACATGTGGTCTTAATTTAATTCTTTAAAATATTTGTTTGCAATTTATATAAGATATATGCTAGAGTCCATTTGTTTCTCAAAATAGTGGTGGGATCCATCTTTTTACTTTATCTTTAATTAGCTATGGAAAGCCAAATAAAGTTCTTAAAATATTCTTTTCTTGAAACCTTGCAATGGAAAAAAATAATAATAATAATTTTTAGAGGAACTTCTCCTTATATGTGGTATCGAGTAAAACGACATCACTCGTATAATAGTGTTAATTAAGAAATTTATTAAAAAAATATATATTAAATTTAATCACTTTTAAATTCAAATACATTTAAAAAAATATAAAACATCTGCAATCTACAAAACTTGTGTGCTTAATATGATAATATAATTTTGTTAATATACATTAAACTGAATATCGCCAAATATTGATTAATTTTGTATATTATACATGTAGAACTTATAAAAAAATAAAAAAAAAAAGATTAAAATTTAAAATATATTTGTAATTTAAGTAATTAGTCAAATATTTTTTATAATTTTAAAAATCATAATTCACATATATTAAAATCCGAATTTATGTAAACTACTTCAAAGCACGAGACATGACACATAAGATTATACAATATAAAAATTTGACAAATAGAACTACGAATTAAGAGAAGTGGAGGTTTATATTCGAAAAACTCTACATTTACATATAGGCAACTACAACTAATAGATATAGATTATAGTCAAAACTTACATAGACTCATTTAAAATACGAGAAATAGACATGGAAAATTATAGAACAAAAAAAAATAAAATTAATACATAAAATTACGACACTCTTAAAGTTAACATTTAAACCCAAAAAAACTCTACCTTTATTACCCAGCCATTACTTTGTTCTCTTTCTCGGCCCAAGCATTTCAGATAATTTATTTGGAGAAAGAGTTATAAATCATTAAAGAAAATAATGACTTGGTAGACAGCTCACACATACTTGTCAAAATGGATATTAGAGCATTGGGTACAATTAAATTGCCATTTAAATACATGATGTTTAATGTAATCCATTAATTCAATTATTAAAATAATGGGTCCCACGTTCAGCATTCAATCAATTCAACAGGACGGTTAAACATTTTTTCATCTTCCACTAATATTCTTTTTTATTATTATTATTATTATTATTATTGTAATGAATAGTGGGTCTCATATTTCATATTTGTCTATAGTCTGTACTTATATTTTTAAAAAGTGGTCATCTCATTACGTACAAAATCGATTTTGCAGATTTAAGTGGCCCACTACTATCAAATAATACCTAGAAACAATTGATCACTCCTCCTAATTCCTATTATATAGTTCAATTGTTAACTTTTTATTTATTAATTTTAAATTCGTTTCTGCAATTAATTGTTATATTTTGATTTAATGTTTTGTAGGCTGATGAGGAGGAGAAAGATGTGTTGAGATTGAAGATAGAAAATGCAATAGCATCTATGAATGGCCCAGCCAGCCCTATGAGCATATAATCAATTAAGCAATCAGTTGTT